AAGACTCTGAGAAGTGAGTATTTTAAGAGTACTGTAACTCTATGATCTTGATTTTTTTATTTTTATTTTTTATTTTTTTCTTTTTCTTTTATTTTTTTTTTCTTTCTCTTTTTTTTTTATTGTGATTTTTTCTTGTTTTTGTTTTATTTTGTATTTTATATTTGTTTTATAATTAAAATTATATGAATTATAATCTGTGTTCAGAAAAGTAATAATATTTGATAACACTCTCTGTTGAATTTTCAACAAATGAGCACTATGTTATGATATTATATAAGTGAGAAATGATTTTATAGTTTTATTTAATATCATTCTCAATAATAAGATTAGAATGAAAATGTAAGTAAGAATTCAAATATATTCTTTATCTGAGACTAGATTTTTATTTGAAAAGTGAATCTGAAATCTTTAATATTTGAAATAACATGATTTGAAATCAATGTAATGAATATAAATCATGATCAGAAGTAATGCTTTTAGACAATATAATAACTGTAAAGTTTGATTCTGGTCTCAGACACGGTCACACGGTCAGTCTAAACAGTACAGCAGAGTAAGCTTGTATAAAAGATATTATAAATCTCTAATAATATATTAAGATAGTAGTTATAGTATAGAGTGAAGCTCATTACATCTATTATTCTAACAAGTGTTAAAGATAATATTTCAAAGAGAAAATCTTCTGAGTATTCAAAACCTTAGTGAAATGAGAATATCTCATCTAAAAGAAAAGAATTAGCTACTACTAGAAGAGATTAGAAGAATGATGTAATATCTGATAAAGAGTTCAAAGCTGTCAGAAATGAATATTTTTCAGATATTAAAAGAGTTAAAACAGACTGCTGAAATAAATTTCTTGAAGAAGCACAAGGAAAGAAAGTTTTTAAAGCTTTTAACTATACTAAAATAAGAAGTGTAGCAAAACTTTCAGCCTTAGAATATGAGTTTCAGAATGAATCATATACAGCAAACTCTTTTGAGAAAAAATGTTAAGCTTTTATGAGAATTCTCTTTCAGAACTCATCAGATTCAGTTTCAGATTTAGAGAAAGAGAATATATCACTTCTCAACTACATTAATGAAAATGACTGAAAATGGCTTGATCTTACACAAGATGAATTAGAGTCAGCTATCTTCTCAAGTTCTGTTAAAACTGCTGCAGAGCCTGATTCAATTAATCACTTGATTATTCAAAATACATATTTCTACTTAAAGAATGAATATTTTGAGCTCTTTTTCAATCTCTTGAAAAATGAATATCATTCTGAATGCTGGAGAGAAGTCACTGAAGTGATTCTTGCAAAATCTAATAGAAAAACTTCAATTCTCAAGTCATATAGAGTAATATCTCTATTAAACTGTCTAGAAAAGGTTTTGAAAAAGATAATAGCTACTTAACTATCTTTTATAAGCTCTATTAAAAATATCTTAATACACACAAGTCTCTGTGTATAAAATCATTGCAGAGCTAAGCTCAAAACAGAAGACTCTGCAAGATTAATTTTATAGCTTATTAATAAAAGAGATAGAAATGTAACTGCAGTGAAAGCATGTCTCTAAAGATGAAATAAGATTGACTTGAGAATGAGTTGAATAATGATATAGATAATTAATGAAAGACTGAAGAGAGATATACAGAACTGAGAAATGAATTAATTATCAAAGATAATAACTGCAGCTGTTTTCTTAATTAAGTTAAAAATGAAGTTGATAAGAAATATTCTCTATAATATCTGATAATACAGTAAGCTCTTTGAATTATAGTTTTCTTTTTACAGACTACTATTAATGAAGATATATCAGAACTATAAATCTCATAGTAATAAAACTTAATCTCAGATAATATATCTGTTTTAATAGACTGTTCACAGACTGTAAGAAATTTCACTTCTTACAGATTCTTTATCTCTATTTTCTATCTCTTATATAATCAATAGAGTTAACAGCTCTTGACTATATATAACTATATAGACTGAAGTTTATGAATACTATTTATAACTCAGCTTAAATACTGTAAGAGGCCTACGCTGAATAGATCAGTATTATATTAATAGATCTTATTTAACAAAGATAAAAACATTAAAGAAGAAAAGAAAGAGAAAGTGCGAGAATCAGTAATTGAGATGAATATTTATACACATATGTGATGATGTACGCAGTAGAGCTTCAGAATGGAAGAATATACGCGCGTTCATAGCAGTCAAGAATCAGTGATTGAGAATGACTGAGAATCAGAGCATACATTACATGCATTCATAGTATGAAACAGAAGAATCTATAAAGTGTAATAAAATAGTCTATATAATTGATCAGGCACAGCTCATCATATTAACTCTCTTCTTTCAGAAGCAGTTCTCATTGATCAAGAGTTACTGTTTTGAATAACACAGAACTCAGAGTTCAGATCAGTTGATTATAACTGACTCATTTTATAAGATATTATCAGCTGCAGCTGCAGAGTCTCTCATTGAGAATATTCTCAATCTCTCACTCAAGCTCATTATCTTCTTCTATGATGTTTGATGACTGTCACTCAGAAGTTAGCTGAGAGAAGAATGAATCAGTGACAGTGTGATGAAGCAAGCTTGTATGAAATACATTATAAATCTCTGATAATGTGTTAAGACAGTAGTTATAACTATCTAGAACTTCTGTCACTTTATATCTGATATAGCAGTAATCTAGTGTATGAGATGAACATGTAATTTATATATTCTTAAGATTCAATTATATCAGATCTTCTATCTTATATTGTTCAGCAGAGTCTTAGTAAATATTGATTTAATTCTCTTAATCTTGTTTCATAGTTACTATAAAGATCTCTGCTTAATTACAGGCATCTCAGAGCTTTATTACTATATTATCAGCAATCTGAATTGAACTGCAGAAGTTTGATATGAACTGTGTGATCTCTAGAAGATTCAACACTTTTATATAATAACTGTGTATAAGAAAGAATAGACTTATATCTGTTAAAATAGTATCTCAATCATTGATAGTAATCTCTGTGTGTAGAAGAAGATTATATTAATCATCTTATAAGTAATTACAGAACTTATAAAGATAATTCTTTACAGTCTGAATTGTCTGTTCTGATATATCATCAGTCTTAGAGTGATAGACAGTTAACAGATAATATATAATCTTGAGAACTTGACAGATTCTTATTCAGAGAGTGCTCACAAATTAACAGCTCTGATTTAATACTATGAATCTCAGTAATTTATGTATCTGATAGAATAAGCTCTGTAGAAAAGCTTCAGCAACTTGTTCAGTATTCATTCTATTACAAGATTTCAATATTATATCTTTGCTCAATTGATTTATAATGATCAGAATGTTTCTATAACTCTTACTCTCAGATAGATTAATAGTGAAGTCAATTACTATATCTTATCAGATTCTATCAGAGATATTAAGTGATTTCAATAGATCTTTTCTACAGTTCTTTCATAAGATAACAGAAGAACAGTGATTACAGTTTCAGACAAAGTGTCTGATACTGTTTAATATCTCAGATCAGTAGAACTCTCAGAAGATCATTTTATACAGTTATTCACAGTCTGAATAATCAGTTATACACAAATCATTCATCTCTTGCATTATTCAAGTGTATAAGAGTTCAAAGTGAGGAACTCAGTGTTATTCACAGAATTATAGAGTGTTATTATCATTGATTAAACATTCTGAGATATCAGTTCTTATATGTAGTTCTGAGAAGAATCAGAGTACTTCTTGTGTAACGTGGCGGAACCGAAGCGGTGGCTAGTTGACGGCGTCACATAGAGATAGTTGTTTTGAAAAGCTGTATAAGTGAGCTTGACTATCTTGCTTGAATAGTGAGCTTGTAGGCTACAGAGTTATTGCGAGAATATCACAGATATGATACTTAGTATACTAAGAAGATTGTATGAGGCACACAGTAACTCTTATATATATTTCAGTAGAAGTAAAAGATGAATCACTGACTTCTTTGATAAGAAGCCAGTATCTAGCTATTCTATATAGACAATGAGTGAATACCTCTCTTTCATTTCATGAGTGAGAATAGCCAGAGTGATACCTCAGCAGCATCTCATTACTAAGAAAGAGTAATCTGCTGATCTCATATAAAAGTGAGATTCTTATATTCATCAATCAGATCTTTCTATGATACATCTGAATGATGTCATAGAGTGATTGAAAACTGGTTCAGATGAGATGAAATCATTCACATGAAAGTGATGAGCTGTGTGAAACTGCAACAGAGTCTTGACATGATCAGAAGCATGATAATACTCTTCTCTTTAAGAGTATAGTCTCTATACTCTCAAGATTACTGAATTAGAAATTATCTTTATTGTATAGTAATGATTATCAACTGATTGACAGTATATGTGCTGTGTGTGATATAAAGAAATAGATGAGTTTTTCTGCTGACTGTATAGATCTTTCTTTTTTCATCTTCATTCAAATCAAATATATGATAAGTGAGTTTCTTATATATTGATTTGAAAGATAAAAAATGTAATTAACAAGTGACTTACAGATCTTTCAATATATTCTATTCTATATATGAAATTCTCTGCAAAAGTGATGTGTTTTAGAGACAAAGCTAACAGTAGTGACAGGATTTTTTTCAAAAAGATTCTTCTTCTTCATAACACTTTTTTCTTCTCCTCCTTCTCATCTGCAATAGTGAGTGCATAGGAGTATCATTCTTGAAGAACAGTAGAGGACTTATTCTGATGTTTTCTAGTGAGTAAACATCTTTGTGGTGCGGCGGTGACCTCTGTGACTGCTAAGAAAGCCAGGTTGAAGGTGAAGGCAGCGGTGTCAATGAGCTGCAGGAGCATCACTCTCATTATCACATCTTCTCCTTTTTCTGCTTCTTTTGCAGCTGTGGTGATAGTCACTGTGTCTTGCAGTGAGATGTCATCTCTTCTGCTGATCAGTTCATCTGTGTTCAGTCTGTTCTTCATCTTCTCTGTCATCATTGTAACACTGCTCCTCTCTCCCAGTCAATACAGTGATATATGACCTCATGTGGTCATTTGAAGAGGAACCTGGGGAGAGCTTGATTTCAGAGATAGTGACTCTGAGAAGCTCAATCTGTAGTTACTCTTTCACAGCACATCTGAGCCCTGCTCAGAATGCTGCTGAGTTGAGTCTGCAGAGTTCTGCAGTTTCTTTGTCTTCTCTCTATAAGAAGGCTTCAGTGCAGCCTCTGATCAGCATCACTACTTGTCTGCACTATGCTAAGCAGCTGAAGAAGAGAGAGATTCTATGCATTCACTTCTTCTCTCACTTCTGTTATTTTCATTATACTCATAATAATAACTTCTATCTCTCTGTAAGTATTATCTACTCTACAAGAAGACATTATATCAGCTCTGATAAGAAGTTCAGATGCTTAAGCAGTACAGAGTAAGAGTCTCAGAACTTTAAGTATTGATGAATTCTATCAAGACTGAGAAGATCTCTCTTACTTATCTGTAAAAGAAGATGAAAGTATGAGTCTTCAAGATAAAAAAACATCTCAGAATGACTGATCTTAAGAAGAGATTAGTCAGTGCTACTATTAAAAGTATCACAGAGATTAATCACTGATTGAAGAGAATCTCACTTCAGTTGAAGCAGATAACTGAGATATTTTATAAGTTAATAAGTTGATACTTTCAGTATCTCTCATACTCTTCTGCAGTATGCTTTTCTGTAGCACTGCAGCACTAACTTCTCAGCAGACAAAGATACTGATACTGAAGACTTCAACAGTGAAGAATGAGTTTAGTGAGAATGTGATTATTGATAAGTAGACTCTGAGATTTCTTCTTTTTACTTTTTCAGCAGGCTGTGATCTCATTAGATTAGCAGCAGCCTGCAGATCAATTAATATTAATCTTTTTTATTAATTTTAAATATTTCTTTTCTCTAACTGCTTTGAAATTTTTACACTTGTGTAGTCTCATTAAACTTCTAAAAAACTCTTTGAGAGAAAATAGAAGAAGAGTGTTACAGAGTCTATAAGACATCAGCTCATCATTACAAGATTATCTCTAAAAAAATTCTTTAAGAAAAATAAGAAGTCTTAAGCAGTATTTCTTACTCAATGTTTCTGATGTGTAATAGAGCAGTCTCTACTAGCTGTCTTATAAATTGCAATCTCTTTCTCAGCATTTTTCAAATGCTTAAGTGATTTTCATGAATTCTCTGACAATGAATAATCTTCTTATTTAATAAGATATTGAAGCTTACTGTAATATGTTTACTTATTCAATATTTTCTTCACAAGATATTCAGTATCACTCTTGATCTCAATACTATTCAGTCAAGACAGCTTCATCTCAGAGTGTTGCTTATAGAGCTTTAAATAGAAAATGTGAAAAACAGAATAAATTAATTTCAATTCTGTGAGTAATTTTAACTCATATATCTGCTTACTTATTACTCTTATTATCAGAAAAGATTCTAGTCACTGCTCACTGAGCTTCTTACACAGTCTTATTATCTTGATATTCTTTACTGAAAGTAGCACTTAATTCTCTATTGAGAACTTCATCAGAAGATGTTTTTAATTATAGTATTTCATCTACTGCTTCTGAGCACAGTGAATGCTTTTCACTGCCTTCTTATGAATTTTGTTTAAAAGTTTCAATCTCACTTTTACTTCTGATACTGAGAAATACTCTGTTCTCTGTATCTGTTCAATATTCTGACTATCTATTCTCTTCTTTGAAATGTTGTCTGCGATGTCACTGAATAATGAAGAATTATATTTATAATAAGTATAGAAAGAAGATATCTTTAAGATTACATTCTTTGCATTGTTATATATAAATTCAGTAATCAGAAGATGTTTGAGTCAATCATTCTGATAATATGAATAGAACACTCAAAGATGCTGTTCTAGTGTCTGATTCTAGTGTTCAGTCTGGTTATCAATCTGCAGATGAAATGCAGTACTGAGAAGATATCTTATTATAAGATGATAGCAAAAAGCTGATCAGTACTTGCTGATAAAGAGGAATTCTTGATCTGTTATCAATGATTTCAGAGCACTGTGATCATGAATAATGATATTTAAAAACAGGTCAGTCAATTCAGAGGCTTTAATCTTTTTATAAGTAGAAATATATCTGATTATCTTTGTAAAGCAGTCAATAATGATTAAAATTAAGTCATATTCTTTGACTCTTGTTGACTTCAGTAGATTAACTATGAAATTCATTGATAGATTCTGTCATGAGCTCTTTGAAACAGGCAGTGATACTAACTTGCTGTATTGCTTATACTACAGGATCTTTATTCTTTAACAGATATTATAAGTCTCAACATACTCTTTGACATCTGCTCAGAGCTTGTTTCAAGTGTATTTATATTTTAGAAGCTTCTCAGTCTTCTCTAACCTGAAGTGCTCTGTATGAGAATTATTATGATGAATTCTCAATAACTTCTGACACACTGCTCTGCTATGAGAGATGAAGACTGAATCATTCAGTAGTAGAAGTTCACATTCTTCTAGTTATCAGTGACTTGATTTCTTAGCAGCACTGTCTCACTCAGAGTCTGTCTTTTTCAAGTTCAAACTGAACTCTTTCTTCTTCAACTTCTGAATTTAAGCTGCAGTAGAGATGTTCTTCTTCTATAACTTATCAATGAATTTCAAAAGTAGTCAGATTGAAAGATTGTAGACTGTTTCATTCTTTATCAATTCAATAATTGTAAGATGTGATATGAGAAGCTCATGATCTTCAGTGTCAGTTCTTTACAGAGATCTGAGTTCTCTTTCATCTTCTATACTGAGTCATGCAGCTGCCTCTTCAGTGCTGTTTTCAAGCTTTAGAGAACTCTAATTCTCTGCAGTCAGCTTCTTCTGCAGTAATGACAGAGATTCTTTTGTAGAATTCTTCTTCATATCAATGATATTATAATTGAGCTGTTTAGACAGTATGTCAGCAGGGTTAAGCTGACCTGAATGATATCAGATATAGAAATCATACTCTGAAAGCAGCTTCACTTATCTGGCTTGATATTCTGTCAAGCTCTTTGTTGTCAAGAAGTAATGCAGATTTGCATGATTAGTGAGAACTTGCACTGAGTACTTACTACTCTGAAGATAATGTTGCTAGATCTTAAAGAATTTGATAATTACTAACATCTTCTGATCATGAGTATCATACCTTCTCTATGTAAGTGATAACTTCTTGAAGAAGAAGGTCACTGATCTTTATTCACAGTGTCTTATAGACTCTGTGAAAAAGTCTTCTCTCACAGACAATTCATTGTCTGTTTTCTCAGAAGTGATTATTCTCTGATTCTTTCAATGTTGAAAGACCTCTGATATCAACTGTGAAAAGATTTCACAGATTTCATTCTTGAATGCATCAGTCTCACACTGACTGAGTAAGTTGAGATTAAAGTGATTCAGCATTGTGACATCTGTGAAAGCTTGTTTCAATTCTACAAATGCCTGTGTGATATCTTGAATGAGGATAAATGATTTCATTTTTCTGTCTTTCACACTTTTCTTCAACAAATCTGTAAGAGGAGCAGTAATCTGTGAATATGCATAGATGAATTGTCTGTAGAAATTTACAAATTCTAGAAATACCTGCATCTCACGATATGTCCGCGGTGCTGGCCAGTTCTCAATGACAGAGACCTGGCTTCTGTTCATTGAAATGCTATTCACTTTAATAATATAATCTAAGAAATCAATCTTCTGCATGTAGAATGAGCATTTTTCAGTGTTTGTATAGAGTTGATGCTGTCTCAAGTGACTCAACACTTCTTGAACATGGGTATTGTGTTCTTTCTCTGTTTTTGAGAAGATTAGAATGTTGTTCAAGTATACTATACAGAAGATGTTGACAAGGCTCTGCAGTGTCTCATTTATATAGATCTGAAAGATGACTGAAGTGTTACAGAGATCAAAAGATAAAACAAGATATTCAAAATTGCTGTACTTGATATGAAAGACTGTTTTTCAAATGTTGTCTTTGTTAACTCTGATTCTATGATAGATATTCTATATATCAATCTTTGAGAACATCTTTGCTTCAGATAATTGATCAATCATCTCATTAATCAATGATAGTGAATAGTGATTCTTAACTGTCATCTTATTGAGGCCTCTGTAGTCTATACATAGACATAGTCTATCATTCTTCTTGAGTATAAAGAGTATAGACATCTCTGTCAGACTCTTTGATGAATGTATTCAGTTCTTTGATTACACTTCTTCAAGATATTTGTGCAGAACATTCAACTTCTTTACAGACAAGTTGTAAAGAGATCTGTACAGTGTCATTACACTGTCTTCAAGGCAAATCTTATATTGTATCTTGATATCAGGAAACTTCACTGCTTTTCTTTTCAAAAAGATATTCTTAAAATCTATAAAGAGATGTTGTATACATTCATCTTTAATAATAAATACTGCTGCTAATCTTGCAGTGAGGATGATAACTTCTTTATCTATCTTCAAGTCTCAATCACCTGCTACATAGTATATTGACTCAATTCTTTTCTCAAGATTCTTCTGATGAAACTCTTCAGATTTCTCTATTACTATCTCTTCATCAGTGAGATGATACTGTCATACCTGAGTGACTCAGTCAATGAGAGGATTGTTTTCTCTCAATTACAGAAGATCTAGAATGACATTCTCATCTATGATATTAACTGTGTGAAGAAGCAGACTGCTCTTCTTGAAGATTTCTTCAGAGTCTGTGACTACACACTTTGCTTGAATTATGTCAAAACAGTGACATTTTGTTTCATCAGTAAATTTCACATGATCTGACAGATCTATCTTCTTTCAATTCTTCATCAAAGAAAAGAAATAGAATATGAAGTTAGTATCTATCTCAGAGTCAAGTAGACATCTCACTGATATCTTCTCATTCAGAGTATACATTGTAATCATAATATGAACTCAGAGATATAAGAATTGTTAATTCTTCTCTTTCTTTTCTTTATCTTCTGCAGATACATTTGTCAGAAGAGAAGTTAACTTTAAGAAGATATCTTCTCAGTTTCTTCTCTTCTTCAGCTTCTTATAATCACTGATATAGTGATTACCTGCTCTGCAGTTGAAACAGAGATCTTTGTCAAATCTTTTTTAATATTTCTTTACAGTGAGTGAAGAATCAGAATACTTGAAATTCTTCTTTACTTTCTCTGCACTGAAGCTGTCACAGTGCTGTTTAGATTCTGTTATTAATTACTTAGAAGAAGTCTTATTAACCTTGTTCTCAGAGAATTGATTATTCAAATAGATTCAGAAAGTCAGGTTGACAAGCTCAGTGTAATTAATTGATAAACTCTGATATTATAATATTATTATTCACA